ATGCCAGTTTGAAATAACTTCTCTGACTCTTTCAACCGAAGTTCTATTTTGGATAATACTCCCATTACACTAACCACCTCCAAACTAAAAAAATATTCAAAACAGAATAAAGCTGGCTCACTAGTACAGTTTATTTTGAGTTAATTATAGAATCACAAGAAGGTAAAAAAGTAGTACAGAAAGGTCCTATGTACCCATCACCCAGCTTCCTCCATATTGGTATTTGACATAACTATAATACAGCATCTAAACCAGGAAATTGGTATTGGTACAATACAGTGAACTAGTCTCTGGGCCTTACTAGGTTTTTCCCTATTTTGCATATACAGTAAAACCTTGGATTGAGAGTAACTTGGTTTGTGAGTGTTCCACAAGACAAGCAAACATTTCTAATACATTTTAACTTGGCAAATGAGCGATGTCTTGCAATACGAGTAGTTTGTTTCCGGAACGAATTATGCTCGCAAACCCAGGTATTACTGTACTTAAAAAATTTTCCTTGTGTATAATTCTATGGCACTTTATCATATGTATAGAATTTTGTGACTATCACCACATTCAAGACACAAAACTCCATGTGTTCGGACTGGGTCTGAGTTGTTCTAAGATTTGTGCCTGAGAAGCTGCAAGTCCAAATAATACACGAGGTGGCTGAGTGAGAGACATAGGTTTATTGAGACTTACAGACCAGGGAGAGTCTCCAGTGATGGCCGGCCGGAGGGGTAGTGATCTATACGCAGGCAGAGAAGAAGCAGATTATATAGGTACAGCAAAACAAAGCATTCATGGGAGAAATCATCTGGCAGGCCTGCTCTCATGCACACGGCATCCCAAGAAGCCAGGAGACCTTGACTGCTGGCTAACATATATAACTGGCTGTCTGATAAGCAGCATTCCCATGGAACCAGGAGACCTTGACTGCCTGCTAGCTTATCTGCCTGTTGGCAAGGTCCCTACATCCCTATCACCACAAAGGAACTCCCTTGAATGTCACAGGGATACCTTCCCTGCCCCGTCTCTCATCCATGACAACCACTGGTCTGTTCTCCACTTCTATATTTTGTTATATAAATGGAATCGTAGAGTATATGACCTTTTTTTTTTTTAAAGATTTTTTTATTGGGGAATTGGGGGAGGGGAACAGACAAGTTGCTGTCGTTTTGTTCTTCAGTCTAGTTGTGGAGAATGTCGCTTCACTGGCCCATGTTGGTATTATCATTGCGCTCTTCCCCGGTGAGGCAGATCAGTCGCTGGCCTCTGGACGGCCGCTTGCAGCGGCTCTTGGCAGTTCACACCAGCTGCCAGCTGCTCATGCTGGCTGCTGGCCACACACGGTAGCTTATGGCAGCCCACTGCAGCAGGGGCTGCAGCCTATGCTGTCGCCGGCGACTCACAGCAGCCCAGCTGCAGGTCGAGCTGTTGTTCACCATCTTAGCTGTAGAGGGCAGTGCCACGGGCTCTCATGTGGGATCCGAACCGGGACCCTGCTGTTCAGAGCTGGAGTCCCAAGCAAGCTCTTAACCAACGCACCACTCGGCTGGCCGCAAGTATGTGACCTTTTGAGACTGGCTTTCTTTAAAAAAACTCTGAATAATGCCCTTGAAGTCCATCCACGTCATTGTGTGCATTAATAGTTGATTCCTTTTTATTGCTGAGTACTGTTTTATTGTATGGATGTACCAGTTAGTCACTAACAAACTGGTTCAGTCTAACGAAAGTTCTTTACTCAGATATTCAGGGGAAAGGAAGGACACATGGAAAAAATTGGACACTCAGTCCCCCACACCCACACATTGAGTGGTGAGCATCTGGGGCCTTATCACAGATACCCTGTGGTCACTTTTTTTTTTTTTTTTAGCTGAGCCATCCCGCCACCTGTTGGCAGCTCACGGCTGCTCAGCTCGGGCTGACTCGAACCGCTGTTGCTCAGAGCTCAAACTCTTGAGCGAGCTCTTAACCAACTGAGCCACTCAGCCGGCCCCCCTGTGGTCACATTTGATAAGGTTTGACCTTGGTCAATTTTCTCACCATTACTGACCCCACCAGCCCACCCTCAAGTCAAGTACCTAAAGCCTCCACAAACCCCCCAAAATGTTTCTCAATTAAATAAAAGTTCACTGAGCATCTATATAGCTCAAGCTTCCTGAGTTCCTTCTCTGGATTTCATCACAAAACCTCCCTAGTCTGCCATCCTGGGCAAAACTAAAGGGACTCACAGACACTTGCTCCATCCCAGCTGTGGTGACTCAGGCCAAAGCCAAGTGGTGTTACCTCAGGGGCAATGTAATCTGTACAGGTAACAAGGGCTAGGAGTCAGGAGATCTCACTTTGGCTTCTGGTTCAGCCTCCTGTCTCTCCCAGACAGGCCCTCCTCAGACTAGTCACTTGCCTCCTTGTTTATCAAGTCTCCTTGTTTGTCAATTGATGGAATGGGCTCCAGGAGCACCCTAGCATCCCATCTTTGCCCTGACCCAGTGACCTGGTCTGTTTGATCCCAGGGTCTCCTCAAGGAGTCACACAAAAAAAAGTCTACTCAAAGAAGGCTTTCCCCAGACACCTCTGTGCCCCCTGAGACAGGGCATTCAATGACTCTGGGGCTTGGTTGGTTGTATAGGGAGATTCATCCCACCAGGCCCTCCAAGATGCAAATGGCATTTAAGGGCTTTTGCAGCCAAACAAGGAACTCTGCTTAGAGACCAGAAAGTGGACAAAATGAGCCAAGGGCAGGATAGGGAAAGAGGGCAGAGAAAGAGTGAGGGATTAGAAATTAAATAAGATCGTTCTCATATTATATTTATTTAATTAACTATGTTTGTGTTTGAGTTTTTTTCCCCCATCATTGTTTTAATGATGAATGTCTAGAGGCTATTTCTTCATGTATTGGAGTTTTTTAATAAACTTGCAAGTTAATTAACTTGCAAATATTCTCATCACAGTAGTTTTGTTCATGGCTAATGTTTTCCAACATTGCAACCAGATACATGAACATCAGAGACCTGGACTAGGTCGCCCTTATGGGCCCAGTTATAGAGATATCAGACTGCTAGGCGGGCTGTAGCCCTAAGAGGACCTTACCCACTTGTATACCCACTAAATGTGTATCCAGTTAGCTGGGCTGAGTTTATGAAATGAAGGCTATCTTTTATTATAGGGAGTAATGGGCTTTGAGATCATCTAGGCCAGCTTCTTCATTTTATTTATGAAATAGAAGCTCAGGAGAAGTAAAGACACTAACTGGATAAGGAAGGAAATGGTATGGGAAGAAAAAGATGAATATAATCAGCTGAAGGAGCCTCTTAAGTTACATTGTAGCTTACATTATGGTGTGCTTTTTTTGTTTTGTTTTTGTTTTGTTTTGTTTTACTTTGTTTTTTAACTCATCAGGTGAAAGCTCTGGGGTTTAAAACAATTTAAATTTAAAAATAGTAATTTCAAAAATAGAACACATTGCAAGATTGGTCTTTGGTCATTTGCATTGTTTTCTTCCTTTCTTTTCCACTTTCAGCTCTATTTCCAGGACTTCTGTTGTGTGGTTTCCAGCAAGTTTTTCTTTCCCTCTCTGGGTTTCTATTTCATCTGTAAAATGAAGGATCTGGTTTAGCTGATACAAAAAACCCCATTTTATTTTTCTCCACAACTGCTATGCCTGCCTTAACCTGTGAAGGTGTGACCTGGGCGGAGGTGAGAAAACATGAAGGTGAAAGTCAGCTGGCTCCTTTGTCCCTGCGTGAGCCTTTGCCTGGAGCTAATGGCCACAGATCCCCCTGCATCCGCCACGCCTCGCTTGGGGCGTCCTCCGCACCTACCTGCCACAGTCTAGGGATAACGCGGTTTCGGGCTCTGCGGTTACCATGGCGATACGCCCTCTGGCTTAGCCTCTGCTGTCCCCTAGCGGACATCTAGGGCATCTGCAGTTCCGTCATTTCCTCTGGGCAGCTCTGCCCAGGGAGGTGGCTCGTGAGCTGGCCCCTCTACTTCTAGACCTTGTCCTGAGCCTTGGCTTCAGCGGCCCGCTCCCGGCCCCGCCTCTCCCACCACTCCCGCTTCTCTGCCCGGGGGCCAGGCTTCTCTGGCTTTGTTGCCCAGACCTAATAGCCCTAACCACTCACTTAGGACTTACCTAACAAGGGCTCTTACCAGGGCATTTCCAGAGTCCCTCTAGAGACAGAAAAGCTCACTGTGATGTGAACTAAAACTTGGCCACTCCCCACGCCCACCCCACCCCTTAGCAGCCCTTGATTCAGACCTCAGCTCCTGGCTCCGCTTCTACAGATGGACCTTGTCCATCCTCAGGATGGGGTCCCATAGACAGGACAGCCTGGCCAGAAGCATGGGAGGCACGAGCATGGTGGGGGGGTATCACCAAAGCTGGGCGTGGCAGCCTTGGTGGGGAGATGAGAACGCATACAGACAAGCTAACTCTTGGGAGTAGGGATAGGCAGTGACAAGGTTGGTGACAAAGGGTGTTCTGGGAGTATACATGGGGAAGGGGGACCCACCAGAGCCTGAGCCAGAAGGAAAGGCTCCTGAAGGAAAGGAAATGATGCTGAATTGAAGCTCAAAGGATGAAAAGGCACCTGGGCTGGAGTAGAGATTTCAGTGATGGAAAGGTGGGCTGAGAGGTCTTCTCTTCAGAGTCTGCCTTCCTGAGAGGGTTATTCCTCATCAGTGGACCACTGATCCTGTGTCTTTTCATTGTCCTTTCCCTCTTCTCATCTTGTCACCTTTTCCTGTGGAATCTCCTCTAGCCCCAGGATTGTAACCAGCACCCCTTTGCTACATGTGATCCATTCTATCATGTCACGTGCAGTTCCTTCTGCCTGGACTGCTCGTGACTTACTTGCCACATCTACCATGAACTCTTATTCATCCTTCAAAACCCAGCTTGATGTTTATTCACTCCTTTCTGATGCCTTCCCAGAACCACCCTTTCAATCATGCATTTTCATGCCACAGATTTCTATTGAGCACTAAATGTTAGGTCCAGAATGTCGTCTTACCTTGTAACTTTCTGTTCACTTGATTGTCTTCCCAGCTGACCAGGATCTCCTGGGGGCAGGGGCACACGCAGGCAGGCTGTGTCTTTTCTTAATCCTCAGCCTTTAACATACACTTCATGAATGAATGGATGGATACATGGATGAATGAATATTAATACAGCTTCTCCTTGTACAACAGCAAACAAATAACACCCAAGTTAACAGGGCTGCCACTCTCTGATTCCCATTTCTGTCCCCTAACACTGTCCCAAAAGAATTTGGCCATATGTTATTAAATTAAAGTGAATTAAAATTTGCTTGAAATAACCATACTCCCCCGCTTCCCTGAGCCTGCAATGACCAGATTACATCTCCTCCAGGCACAGGAGTTTGACATTTCATTGCAAAGTCATTTTCTTCTCATTTCCTTATGTTGCTAAAATATTCTATTTCTCTTCACTTCCCCTTTGTGTTCCCATTACTCACATTTAGTTAAATTTATCTGCTGCCATTTATTCATCTGAAATAGGCTTGCCAGTGTGGACATTCCTAGGGCACTGCCTAGCCTTCCAGGCCATCTGTCTCTTCCTGGGCCACTCTGAGAACAAGACCAGACCCCTCCCCCAGGGCTACTGGGCTGACCCTCAGACCCCAGGTTTCTTCCCAAGGTAACTCTGGCTAGGGTCCTCCCTCCCCCTACACCTATTGTCTTCCTCTCTCTAGCCTTCTCCTCTTCTGTCTCCTGGGGCATGGTGTTCATTCTGCCTCGAGGCCTGGCACTTCCTGAAACCCCTTTGGTCACACTGAGCAAGGAGACTCATAATTCTTCTCTCAGTGGGCTCCCTGAGTAAGTCCTCAACAGGACAGAATATCCAGCAGGGTAGCCAATGTGGGGATTGTTTGGTACTTGCTTGGGACACTGCCACATCTACCACATTTCTGTGGCTTGCTGGGACACCTTTCTCCTTCCCATCTGCCCAGCCATCCTCATAATGTAGGGGTGAAAATAATTCTTCTCCCTGGAGACAGCTGGCAAAGACCAGAAAGGCACATTTTGGCTTGGAGTGGAATCCCAGTTTGGCTCCAATAACTGTGTCACTTAGGGATTGCCTTGGGACTTAGGGCTTGGTGTTGCTCAGGACGGGGGCAGTCAAAGCCCGTGGTCCCAGTGGGAAGGAGGATCAGAGCCCAGGATGGCTGCCATGTATTAGGCATTTGCAACACGGTGGGCTTGTGGGAATATTTGGAGAGTTGGGGCTGTGACTCTTCTGTCCCCAGGGTGATAGTGAAGGATGCTTGCTCCTCACCTCAAGCGTGGGGAAAGGGGCTTCTGTAAGACACCCAGAAAGTTCAATGCATGTCCTTTGGAGCTTCAAGAGCACAGAGAACTGGGAGGATTCATGCCGGAGAAATCTTAATGGCAGGAGAGAGGCTGGCCAGATGGCTTTGCCAGGCAGCTAGGAGAGTAGCCATGTTGGGACTAACCTGCATGCTCAGAGGTCATGAGGGCGAAGGATGAGTGAATGTTTCTAGTGGATGAGGGGTGGCTGCCGATGTGAGAGAGTCAGAGTTGGGTCGTCTGATAGCCTAATCAAAAAAGACTCCTAGAGGAAGAAAGAGCCAAAAGTTACTGCCAGGCCAAGGGGTGAAGAAAGGGTCATATGGGGATTTAGCTTAAATTTCATCTAAGAGCAAGAAAAAAAATTAGTTCCATAGATTACATTTAAAGGACAAAGGGAGACAAGGACAAATTGTGGGGGTTTTTTTGACAAATTGCTTTATAGTTCTATTTTATGAGTCATGTTTGTAGGACTATATATAAATTATCTTATTTTTTTTCTTTAATGAAACGTACTTAATTCTTGTGTTAATTCAAAACATATTTATATTTCTAGAACAAGATCATATCTCCATCCTATACTCATCTACATTTTCTATGCTCTCCAGTTGTAGCTAGGTTAAATAAATCTATCTTTATTATTTCCCGAATAGTTGATGGTCTCAAACTTTTATGTTACTTAATTTTCACAACAACCCTGGAAGGGAAGGAAGGACTCTTGTCATCTCTGTTCCACTTCTGAGGATCAGAAATTGAGAAAGGGGCTTGAGGGTACACAGGAATAAGTGGCAGAGTCAGGCTTAATTGAAAAAGTCAGGCCTGGGGTTGGGGTCGGGGTGCAAGCAATTGTGGTGCCAGTGGTGGGAGGACGACAGGCTTCAGCAGCCTTCATCCAAATTTCCACCCCCACCCCCATGCTTTAGAATTGGCAGCTGTTGTTTAGACAGGCTCTAGATGGGTTCTCTGGACAAACGCCTACAGGACAGTAGCCCTGAAGCTGCCCAGGACTTTGACAGTGGTGCATGAGTCACTCTATTCCCTGGAAACCTTCATGAAGGGGCCAGAAGGGAGTCTCCTTGGTTGATAGTGGCTCTTGAACTACGAGGTACAGTATCATGATCAGATGAACCCAGAGCCATGTTTGTATGAGTTCAAGTTTTGCAGGGAGTAGGAACCAAGGGCCTATCTGCAGGGAAGGGGGTGCCCAGAGCCAGAAGACAGGTGAGGAGGCCAGGCCCAGTACCAGGGAGATGCTGCCTGAGACTGGACAGTGCCCAGGTGGACTGGGGCTCTCACATTTGGTTCCATCTCAGGATTTCCTGGATTCCTTGGCTATTGATGATTCTGTTCTCACATCAATACATCCCTGAAGAAGATAGAAACTAAATAACTGGATTTCATGAAAAATTTACAATTACCCGCATGCACCGGCCCATACCAGATTCTTCCTGTCTTATTGCCACTTACTTGTCGGCACTATACCTCTGAGAAGGCAACATGTCTCCAAAAGGCCATGGGCCATACCCTGTCCCCTCAGCCTCCTTCCTGCCATTTTGTTTCCTTGGAATAGATGGAGAAAATGGGCAAGCTGGCCTAAAAGCAACTCCTCGAAAAGACATATGGCTGTTGCTTGCAATAGGGATAGAATGAAGGCCCATGGTTTTTTCTCATCCTAGCAGCATTGCCCAGCGGTCAGAGAAGATGTCTGCGAGGAGCTCAAACATAGCTGGCAGCAGACTGATTCTGAAGGGTGGTTGCATGGCTTTTTACTGGGTTCTCACAGGTGATTTAACGTGACTTCGGAAGAGGCCACATCAGGGGTGTCCAGTGGGTGTTATTTTGAATCAGAAGCACCTCTTTCATTTTTTCCAGTGAGGAGGTTTCAGCAGGTGTTGAAAAATCTAAAGCAGCAGAGGGTGAGCCGCAATAAGCAGTGTGTGTCCAGCATCTAATTTAATTTGACTTGTTTTCCTGGCCATGAGAACTTGGAGCCAGGAATAAAAGGCACGGGCTGTGGAGGATGACAGTTCCCTGCCTCATGTGCCTGATTCCCTCCAGCCCAAGGGTTCACTCTACAGAAGGAAAGTCGGGTAAAGGGAGATTGCCCAAGGACTCATATCAGACACTAACAGTATGGGAGATTGTTTCCGATTATGTTTGAAAAGCCCCAGCAAAATCTTTTCCCTAAACTTTCCACAATCAGGCAAAGCGGTGATTTATTAAGCATGAGTCCAACTGGGCCAGCTCTCCTAGTCGGCTAAAATTGGCCTGAAAAATAAAGTAATTTGTGGTTGTCAGATCCTAAATTAAATGATTCAAACACTACTGCGGCTGATTAAAGGACTTGACTCAATTTCCTCTTGACCACATGTTCTGTGAAGGCAGGAGAGATACTGTTTCAGGAAGAAAGGCAACATTCAGAGACCACTGATCTAAGCTAATGGATGGTATTTATGAGATATGGTGGCCCCTCCCTTTTCTGATGAAAGAAAGGTGAGACTAAAGAGGGGGGGAGGAGGAAATGACTGTTTGTTTAACTGTGAATGGCCCTCCCTCTGCCAGGCATCCAGCCTCCACAGTGAACCAGGTTGGGTGCCCAAGGAATATTTATGGACCCTTAAAAGACCTCTAGGCAACAATAATAAAGGCCAACAAATGAAATTCAAGATGAGTCAACAGAAAAAAAAATTAATCTGGGACTGTAGCAGACAGTCTAATAGTAGTGTCCACATCACTCAGGGCCCCAGGGGAAGGGACAGCCTTGTACTGGCCACCACCTTAGTGCCTTTCCTTCTTGGCCCCGCTGATTGGACCACGAGGGGACCATGACTCAGGACAGCCAATCCAGAGATAGATGATGTGCCCTGGCATAAAATAGATGAGCTGGCTTGGGAACACGAATGAAGAACTTCAATGATGAGGCGGTTAGCAGCTGGTGCAGACACTGAAAGGAGGAAAGGGAGAGAGGTCAGGAGATGTTCAGATCAGCAGTATCTTCAGATGTGGGAAAGCAGAAATTGTCAGGAAACAGAAGGTGGGAGACAGGGAATGGAAACTCGAGAGTGAAAGGGAAACAAAGGGGCGGCTGGTCAGGAGAGAGAGGAGAACAAGCTCAGGGAGAGACCCTGTGACCCTGATACAGAGATGGAGAAGCCAGCGGGCCCCCAGAATGGCCCTTACTCTCAGGTGCCATCTGTTCCAGGTGCTGTCCCAGTTTCTTCTCATCTTGAAAACAAGTTCACCTCTTCTTAAGGGGGTCTAAGCAGACTCAAATGAGCCCAGGTGGACACAAGAATCAACAGAAGTTTTTCAGCAATGAACAACAGGGCAGTTCACCATATGAAACATAAGCAGTTTTTAGAAAGTGATTCATCTAATTTCAAAGGGATGTGATGAGATCAAAACAGTGGGAAAGGGAATGGCTTTTTGGCCACAAAAAGAAGGTGGTAGGCACTGGAAAGGAATTGGGTTCATCTCCTCCATCTGAAATCCCCTCTGACCTTACTCTGGTCTTCTGTGTCTGGAGGAAAAGAGGCCATGCAGACTACAGTCATGGCCTGGCCCTCCTACCCCAGGTCAGCAGACAGGGAGCTCACTGAAGGGAAGTTCATTGTGAATTCTAGGTACCTTGACAATCTAGTGAGGCAGGGAGACCACAAAGACCCAGGATCCCGCTGGGCCCATCAGTAGGTGCAGATGCACTCATCCGGAATTCCTACAGGTCCCTGTGCAGGCTGGGGTCTGGAGTATGGGTTCGATGCCCCCTCCCATAATCCAACCTCTCTCAACACATTTAACAGGCCTGAATTCTGCTGCTGACCCAGCCTAGAGGCCTGGAATCTGGATCAGTTATCCTAAGCCAAATATTAGTGGGGGCTTTCCCTTCCACTTCCCCAGATCATCCCATCCTCTCCTGAGACTCACAGGGGCAGTTGTCACATGGGGCCTGTTGCAGAGGAGTGAGTGAATGCCCAGGGCAAAGGCAGGTGTTAGCCCAATTAATGGTTAGCAGTCAAGTCTGTCCTCCCTGAACACCTAGCATGGGCCTGGGCACAGGCAAAGGACCACGGTAGCTGGACAAGAGCCCACCACCTCCTGCACTGGTCTCAGGAACTTTGCCCTTTGCTTGCAACGCTCTTCCCACAGACAACCATAAGGCTCCATCCCTCTTTCTTTAGGTCCCTCCTTAAGGGTTCCCTTCTCAAAGCACTTATCCCACCTGCCATAGAATATGGTTACCTGTTTGTTTATTGTCTTGTCTCTCCCCACTGAAATGTAAGCTTCCCGCTTTGTGTGTTCTGGTATCCATTTCCCAGCATTTTGAATAGGGCCTGGCTCATAGTAGACGTCCGATAAATACTTGTGGAATAAATTATTGAATGAATTGTTTTAATTTACATTTTGGTTTTTAGCCAAAAGTGTCCATTTTTCATATGTTGAGAATCAGTCTAGTGTAGTGAGTCAGGCCACTGCCCTGACACTTACTGTATGTGCTTGAGCAAATCACTTAGCCTCCTGTTTACTCATACATAGAATGGCCCCTCCCTAGTCATGTTGTCAAGAGATTTAAAGTTTATGGGCTTGCAGCAGATCTTGCCTATATAAACATCAGCTTAATGTTTTATTGGGCATTTGTGTTTCATTTCGAATGTCTGTTCCTGTCCTTTGTCCATTTTTATAGGGGTTATTTTTCTAGTTATGGGCAGGGAGTTGTTCACGGGAGGCCCTGTGCTGCGCGACCTCAGCCCGCACAGCCTCCAGGGGGCGCCCGGGGCCCGCGTTGCCCAGACTAGGCGGCCCGCGGGCGTGGAGCCAGAGAACTCCAGCCGTAGCCCACCTCGATTTGTCCCACTCGTCCCAAATCCTCTCCCTACTCCCCCATCCAAGGATGGTGAGAGGGAGAGGGGTCTGGCGCGGGAGATTGGACGCGTCATCTGGGGGAGCGCAGCCACCCCATCGGTCTACACTTTGTCCCTCCCACCTTTGAGTGAGACCTCCATCTTCCAAATATAATAGATGTTAGATGGTGTCACCCGCCTGCCGCGCCCAAGGCGACCCTGCGGATGAAGCAGGGTGGCTCACTGGAGGGTCTCCGAGGACGCTCCGAGCGGGCTGGCCGCCCGCAACTTGGAGGGAGGGGGGAATGAAGTCCCGATTATTTTACTCGGAAGAACTCTGCACATTAACACACCCTCACCAGAGTTTCGCTGTGACCCTGGGAACTGGGGACAGAGGTCCAGGTTGGGTGGGGGGAGGGAGGCTGCA